CGCTCTGACGCTGTGGTGGAGAAGACTAACGTGAGGCTGGAGAGCTGCAGGGGTGTAATTCACTGCTGATTCGCTGGCTAATTTTCAAGCCTTTCATACATTCATGCCCTTCAAGGCCCCATCTGTAATACCGTGACCTATTTGTGTATAATCAGCAGCAGATCGCTCGCCCGGCACATTGAAACTGCATTTCTTCACTTGATTTCTCAGAACTATCCAGTACAGTAGAGTTAGCAGCTATTCAAGGGGGAAACAATTGTGTTCATAATTATCGACCCATGGCATCTCCATGTTTGTGCTGTTTCCAACTTGCGCTCCATCAGTCACTCACTGATATGTAGCAGCCTCTGACTCTGATGTTAGCCGCAGGTCAGCTCATTGTTGAACTATCTGGTCCACATCTTAAATGCGTTTATTCACTCTCACCAAACTCAGTGTCGTTCTCAGCTGTGTTCAGCAAAAAAGCTGTAAAAATCCAGAGCAAACAAACAAACTCCAGACATACAGAGGTAGCTGGTGAACATACCCTCTTAACAACAAAATTAGCACGTATTATTTAAACGTGGGTAAACCCGCTAAAAAGCTGATTCTCTCCTTTAACACTGCCAAATTTGCCATCGACGTAGAGCACACGCACAGACGCAAGAGAGGAAGAGTGAGTTGTTAGCCGCCATGCAAACTGCTAAAAAAGATCCGTCACGTCTCGTTCCCGGGTTGGAGCTCCTGTAAGTGTTGCAGCCTGTGAGAAGCTTTGATAGGTGATTGTGCGTTTTTGAAACTTATTTCAGGGCTGCAGCTCATTCTTTCATCCCAGAGCAGTGTAGCCACGGTCTTTCTGGTTTAACAGCACCGTGCTGGGCAGGTGTCAGGTCTGTTTACTGTGTTGTGCTCTGATGGATGTCACAGCATGGAAAAGGGGCTAAAATTAGCATGTTCACCCGGGTGAGCCAATAAATACCCACGTCTACTACAGAGTCATTTGACCCGGGAGTGAATGCCGACTGTGCCATTTTCAGTGCCAACAAAAGCCAGATGTTAGCAGGTCTTAGCAGGTTTATCAGCCAGTGTAGAAGGGGCTAAAGTGGAGCATGTAGCAGATAAAGAAACAGATATTTACCTTAAGAGTTGGCAGAGACCAAAAACAGAAATAATATCAACTTAAAAGGTGATGATATGTCAGTCTTGTGTTCACAACGTGTTTCTGCCGCCCCTAAGTGGCCCAAACATTTTTGTTGTTGCAGGTTTAAAAAATAAAAGTACATACAAGCATGAGTTTGTGACATTACAACTAGTTTGGAGTCATTCATGGTCCAACATCCACAGTGAGTAAACTTGAAACTCAGAGAATGAACTACACAGTGAAATAGTCTTCAGTCGTTAAACTTCTGAAATGAAAAATTCAAGATTTTTCACTGATGGAGGAGGAAATTAATTACAAGAATTTAACTTTTTTTGTAGATAAAGTCAAATTGGACACAAATTATTATTCAAAGCACGTTTTTTATATGTATGGAGGGGATACGCATAATGACTAGACTGTTGTTAATACAGGTGAGTTTTCCAGGAATACACATGTTGTGTGTAAAAACAGCTTTTTCTCTTCCACGGTGATGCCCATGAAAAGAGATGGAAGTGATTGTATGAGGAACAACAGCCCATGAGATAAATTCAAGCCCTTTCTACTTTCACACCTCTGCACATCTGCTCAGCCACTACGTAAAGTCATTTTGTAAAGTTACAATAATCTGGCAATCACTTCTTTTGAATCCTATGATGACATGAAACTGCCTTTGATGGCATTGGGTATACAGCGCATATGGCACAAGGCAGCTGCATTCAGGGACCATATTACAACAGAAACAGGTGATTATAAGGAGCAAAAATGCCTTTAAATTGGGCCAATTTCAGCTTCTTTCTGTGAGCTGCATCTAAGACAGTTTCTGCTGTGTTGTATCTCGGTGGAAGCCTTGCCAGGCTCCATTAACATGTTGACATCAGCTGTTTGCCGCGAGGTTGCTGCTCAGTCCGCCGTGCATTCACAGTAACTGTCACATCGATCAGTGTCCTCCAAGAACACACTGTAGGTTTTGACTCCACATTGTCTCAGATCACCGTGGAGGATTTTAATGCCGACTCTGAACCTGACCAGACCGGACACCTTGACAGTCGGTGCTTTAGGGACGTCCGTGCCTGACAGTCGATCCGATTATTTTATTGTCGGGAACAGTCTCTTCAGCTTTTTATTTACGGCAGACTTGTCACAGCCCAACCGCATGATTTTTGAAACATGTTTGGTGTGGTCGGTCCAGGCTGGAGCCGGGTCACAGCACAGGACTGAAACATGAAATCGGGGCTGGCAACAGGCAATGGCACGGTTCATCTCAAAGGGCAAGAGAAAGAAAATGAAACGGCTCCAATTTATAAATATATTTTACATTAGAAGAAATATCTAACCCAATCCTGTTCACCTTGATAAGTTACATTCCTATTAAAACTAAAATTTGAACATATCTGTATGAAACCATTTAATATAAATATACTTCCCAGCATTCATAAGCTTAAAATTTCCCAGAAATCCTTCTTATTTCTATTATGAAAAATTTCCACTGTGTGTCTCTAAAGATTTTATACATGTCCGAGGTGTCAGAAAGTTCCTCTGTCGTCGCTTCTTTTGACAGGTTTTAATAAACATAAGTTTGTTGCCTTGAGTTTTCTCAGCGTTTTCTTTTTTTTAACAGTGCAGAGGGTCAGTTCTTAAATCAAAGGGAGCTTTTTAGGAATTATTTTACAGTCAAACTGTCGCCCACTCTGTTTCCTCTCCCAGGCGGCAGCAGCAGCAGCAGCAGTGTGTTCGCCTCGGCTCCTCATCGTCTCATATCTGCTCCCAGGCAAAATGTGTTACTCCATCACCAACACCATTCACTCGTTAGCATGAGCCTCCAGCTCCACCGCCCCCGCCCCCCCCACGTCATTCCCCACCTCCCTAAAATGTAGGGCACATACAGCTGCTCTAGGAGTATTTGTTTTCCTGGCTGTCACCTCGCATTACACCCCCATCTCCCAGCATGTGCAGTGTGAGGTCATGAGCAAGGCCATTCCTTAGTGCACGCTCGCTTTTTTACTACAACAGAGTCGATGTTCACACAACAGTGGCCAGAACACTAGAATAATGGATTATTAATGCTAAGGTGATGGCGTTAAAGTAAGCAGAACATACTGGGCAGCATCAGAGAAGAGGTTTGTTGCAGCCGTAATGTTTTCTGCTCAGGAAGCTTCTTCTTTTTTAAGTGAATTTATCTCCTCCAAAGATCTGGGTGAATTATTTGACTGCGAAAGAAACTGCATTAGCGTACTTCAGTGACACCAGGGAACATTTAAAGAAGAACATCTTGAGTGGAAATGCAGCTGCCTGCACACGTTGTCCATTTTCTCTCTATCTGTTGAGATGGGGGGTAGAGATTTCCCCCGAGGGCTTAGAGTTATTAGAGTCATTACTGTGACCTTTATTTGCCCCACAGTTTCCACTGAACCCAGTCTGACTTGTGTGAGGGGGGGGGGGTTAGTGTGGCTACCACAGCATTTCTTGCAGCGACAAGACACACTCTGCAGTCAGCTGGGTCAAAGCCTGTTAGTAATGATGACCGACCGCCATCCCCAGGAGGTGAACACATGCTGTGTGTGTGCGCTGCACTACATACATATTTATCAGGCAGGATGTGTACACTTCTGCTTGTATCCGGAGGGTGTCAGTTAGACATGGCATTAATGGTGTTTCCTGTATGTAAGCAAGTGTAGGGGTTTTTATTTTTATTATTACATAAGCAAACACGAAGCCACCAGAAATCCAATTAAAAGCCACCTCTTAATGGATGATTTCATTTTATTACAACTTGGGTCTTATTGTCATAGTTTGGGCTTTCATTACCTTCAACATTGCCAAGATAAATATTCTTATTTTCTATTAATAATTATGCTCCAGGGTAGTTTATGTCTTTATTACAGGGGGTTTTCAAAGTCTTACTATGATGCCATGAGTTAGTCTGTGTGCTACAACTTGAGCCTTGTTGTTATTTTGTTTTGTCTATATTTGTAGTGGCACCATTAAAAGTGTAGAATTGGATATTATCAGCTTCTATTTGTGATGGGTTTATAGACAACTATCTATGAACTGATAGAAATGATGGTGAAAAACTACAAAAATAAGCCTCAAGTTGTAAGAAAACATGGAATTATTCTTTAGAGAAAAATTGGGAGCTTTCAGTTTTCATCATCGTCTCCTCTCAGGTTGCTGACTGAACGTGTCACAGTGACAAAGTTCAGCCATCATGTCACTGCTTGCTGGTTCCTGATCTAATGTTGATACGAGCTGGTCTGAATGTTCGGTGGCAGAATTTAGTTGAGGCAGTTTCTCATGGTTTGTGAGCTGCTGCTGCTGCTGCTGTTGAATCTTTTTTGTTTAAGGCTTACTGCATTTTTTATTGTATTGACATGGACATAAATAATTAAAATGTGTGTATGTGTGTGTGTGTGCGTGTGTGTGTACGTACATGAACAATGAGCTCCTTGGCGGAATATAATGTCAAAGACAGCTCTGTGAAAAGTCAGCTTAATTGAAACACTTATCCGTAATTATTTGTATCTTGAAGCTTTATCGATCATTTTGCTGCAAACAGGAGAAAATCTAAATGGTGTATCTGAGAAAGTAATATGAGGAGATGGCAAAAATGAGACTCCGTGGTCAAACCAAACTAAGACCAGCCTCCCGAAATAGCTCAAAGTTGAATATTTACAGCCCCTGTTTTCCCTTTTTTCTAGCCAACAACTGTCCAGCCCATCACCACCATCTCCTCGTCAGCACATACCCTGAAGGCTCTTTGTGATTTGGAAAATAATTTTCACTGCTGCGGTTACTTGGTTACTGGATTTTTTTCTCTTCCAGTGAAGTCATACCTCATCTTCCTCCCTCCGCATTCATCAGTGATGTCTCTCTGTCGTTGCAGACGCTCGCGTCCAGAAGAACGGCCTGCAGACGGTGCAGAACCTCCTGCAGGAAGAGGTGGCACGTGCTGAGGAGCATTCAGAGGTAAAAAAGACAACACAAAACAAAAACAACAGCTCCTAAACTAGAGCTTCTTTCTTCTTTTTCTTTTCCTTGCTGAGAATAAAACGGTCTTTCATCATGTTGGCAGCACTGTTGTGGATGGTTCCTGAAAAGCCTGCTGTCTAGCTGACAGCCCACCCACTTCTGTGCAATCTGATCCCTAAAGACATGAGGAATATACATACAGTGAGCAATCTACCGACATCTGAGAGGAATCAAACCTGCTTCCATCATAGCAGCCTCTACAGAAACTCTTATATTTTTATATATATATATATATATATATATATATATGTACTGTACATGTGTTCTGTCAGTTCTGTGTTCAGATGTGACAGCTTTCGGGAGATAGGAGCAAAAAGAGTTTTCTCTGTTTCCATCCTCTGCTTCTTAGAGTAGGTTTAGATTTCCCTTGGGAATGAAGCAGCGCTAGTTCAGAGAGTGTGCCAGTGCCACTAAATACTGAAGACAGACTTTAAATGTTTTGGTTTGAATAAAAGCATTCTAGTGAGTGTATTTTTCTGACTCCTCTAGAAAACTGGAGGAAGGGAAGTAGTGAAAAAGCGACCGTGTTTTAAATGGATATTAACATAAACTGTAGATCAGTGGATCCTTACAAAGAGATAAGAGACCCCGAGATAAATCTGAGGGGTCACAGGATGATTAAGATGAAAAATGAACCGTTTCCTGTGAAATAGGAGATAATTTCAGCTTTTCAGGCTTTTAAATTTTCTTCAGATGACACAGTCTGAGTAGGAAAAACCACTCTTTGTTTGAACTGCTCAAAGCTTGTGTCCATATTAAGGCCGCTGTTTTATTTGGACTGTTTTGTCCAAATTAAATAAATGATGTATATATTAATGAGCTTTACAGATGCTGCTTGACAGATTGTGTTACCTTTGGCCAGGCTAGCAGTTTCCCCTCTGTTGCCAGTCTTTGAGCTATGCTAAGCTAATCGGCTGCTAGCTGTAGCTTCATACATGAAAGTGGGATCAATCTTTCCATCTAACTCTCAGCAAAAAAGCAAACGTTTCCCAAAATGTTGAACTATTCTTTTAAGGGATCCCAAAGCAACAAAGTCGGCAGCCACTGCTGCAGGTGACTAAATGCTCCTGCCTGCTTGAACAGATCAGCTGTCGGTGTGCTGATCCCAGACAGTTCTACGTGAATCACCGTTGATCAGTTTCCGTCGCAGGTTGATTCAAAACCAGAAATGTGCAGCCTTGTGAATAAAGGCAAATGTCACTTACAGGCACAATGTTCCAAAGCGATAATCACCAGGCCTGAAAACATCACATGCTCACATGAGCAGCTTAGAGTAGATATTAATTTTCCTTCTTGGCTTCTACATTACAGTGTTAAATCACAACAAACCCTCAGTGCCATCTATCCATGAAGAGACTGAAGCTTTGGTTTTATTTGCAGAGGGTTTTGTGATGTTTGCCTCTACCACAGTGGAGATAAACATTTTGTTTGTGCTCCTTGGCAAAACAACATTTTGAAAAAACTTGTTTTGAAAAACAATATCCGGCTCACTGTGGATCATCTTCTTCACAGTTTTTGAAATAGTTTTCACTGAAAAGGATTAAAAAAAAAAAAATTATTTATACTTGTCAGGAAAGCCATCAAACCCTGACCAGCCTACGACAAAATAATTCACCTTTTGACCTCAATGCATTTATGAGTGTGTGATAAACCAAGCTGTGAACGGATGATCATAATGAGATCATGACTGTAGCTTCACTTCAGCAACAAAACAAACAGCACAGCACAAAAGCTGCAAGTTCATATTTACGTATTCACCTGCGCGAGCTCGCTGACACTCGCCTGTAGGCTTCCATCACAAAGCTGCGCCGATTCTCTGACATGCATGTACTGACATGACAAGTTTTGTGCACAGCTAGCACACACACAATTCTGAGCTCACTCTGTGCGCTGTCGAGATTTTTGGACAAAGAAAACTATCTTTTAATTATGTGTTCCTCAAATATCTTCATAGACATTGTTGGTTTTTGGTTTAGTGAGTGTATCTCTGAGAGCATCAGTCATAATCGCATGCTCAGTCAGCTCATGGTGGATTATAGGTGGATTTTCTTTTTTTTTTTTTTTTTAAAGATAATTTTCTGGCGTTTTTGCCTCTATGTGATAGATGAAAGTGCAGAGGGAGACAGGAAACATGAGCAGAGAAGAGATACGGCAATCAATGAAGGGTTTGCAGGCAGAATCAAACCACAGACACCAGGCTGTTTTTATTAATAAGATATCAGTCTCTGTGTATGGATGAACTTTTTTTTCTCTTTTGAGCAAAACTTAGCTCCTGAAAAGGGGAAATTTATACATAAGTATGTTTTTTAGTTTCATAATAGTGCACCTTAAGATATTCATTAAATACAGGAAATACAAATACGAACACTTATTAGGTTAAAGGCTCCAGTCTGTTAAAGAAGAAGACGAGCAACACATCATTTACATTACACAATGAAAATTTGATATCTTCTTTAGGAATATCTGCAGCCGCACCTTTACCTGCACCAACACAAATCGTTCTCTTCAAAATTTCAAGAGCCGACTGTTCAGCTTGACTAGATAAGTCTAAACACGACATAAGTGCATGTGCACAAATAATGTGCGAATCAACCAGCTTGTTTTTCAAATTTCGTCCAGTACAAACTTGTGTCTTTTGAATTCCCAGTCCATGTCCGGGCCGTTTGAATCCAGCAGTGGAAGAACAGACAAAGCAAACTGTTCTGTAGAGAGGTAACTAATGAGAGAGCCATGAATAATATCAAAGACTGGGTTTGATATGATGAAGATCTGAGGGATTATAACTTTAAACGGCTTAAAATCAACAGTCCCAGTCAGAAGTTTGGAGGCTAAAGGATAAAAAAGATATTGACAATATTAACAATGAATTTGAAAATCACTTTAACGATGAGTTTAGTTGCAAAAACAGCAGCTTTCAACTGTACTTTAAAGATCAAATCATGTCACCGTGTGTGTATACTGTCAGTGTCTGACATATTCCTGGTATGCACTGTGTAAACACACAAGTAAACGTGAGGACATCCTTGTTGGAGTGAAACAGTGTTTATGTCCGAGCAGCACAATGATTTATCTCTCCCTTTATGGTCTGCAGTCGACACAGAGAGCTTGAGCTGCAGTCTCACAATAATTCATAACATTCACCTCTGTGAACGTGATGCACAGAGCCTGTATAAGTCTTCCCTGTTCCTTTGGCCTTGATCAGCGCAGTGAGGGAGTCTTGTTCACAGATGAAACCCACGCTGCTGCTCAGGGCTCAGATTGATCCGCTCAGCGCACCTCCCCCCACCTCACATGGCTCCAATCAATACGTCCATGACTCAGTCTTTAAAGTGGCCGTCCACTGATTGATTAAGGTCCAGCCAGCACCAGCCAAACGACCACACGGAATGAACACTGAGAAAACACCTGGGTGCAAGGATAGGATATATGTAGGATATATAATGTCCTTTTTAAAAATAACGTGATTTTTTTACAATTATTTTATGATGAAATAATCCTCAAAGTGAAATTCCTCAGTGAGTAGGTGTATGTTAAAGCAAAGCTCTGTGATTTAGTAGACTTCAACACAAAGACAAAGACTTCTCTCTGCAGTCTCTGTGTTCTGTGACTATCACCTCTGATCTCAGACATTTCAGATTAAACCCTCAGAGGGTCTTTATTGGTTCAGTGGAAAACCGCCTTGATTTTTGGGATAATTCTTCAGCAACATCGTCAAATACAGCAGTTTGCTGAACATCTTTCAGAATTTGGATATACTCACTGCGGTGGTGCTGTGACGTTTGTTTTTTGTTTTTGTTTTTTTTGTTTTGGCCTCTGTGTCAGGAGGAAATCCTTGCCTTTGAAGACTCTGGCCAACAGCTTCTTCTTCTTCCTCTGTTGCCTAAAGTCAAACAAGCTTCCTTTATTAGGAGGATTCCTTGTCAGGTACCAACATGAACAAAGATATCTGATGAAGGAAAAGGCAATTTAAACTTGTTGTTGTCCTCGGCGCTCGTTTGAATCACTCGCTGCGGTTCAAATCCCCCTCCAGCCTTCAGACAGAGCTCGTTTTACTTTATTTGCGCAGATATGAGCTGAGCTGAGGGCACACAGATCGGGTTGGTTTAGGCTTTAACTCTAGTTCACAGCCTCATCTTCTCAAGGGTCTGCTGATTATGTGTTTAAGCTGCTGGACTGCAGCCAAGAGGGGACTGATGCTTTTCCCTGTAGTGGTCTTTGTCATTCACACACTAACTGGTTCACTGTATTTAAGGCCTAATAATTAAGGATTTCCCAGTAGAGATCCTGCTGCAGCACTGGGCTTCTCTCATTTCCTTAATCGAATAAAGGAAAGCAGATTTTCCGTTTATATGACGTCAAACTGATCAGGTTACTGTAATGAAGAGAGTGCAAGTAAACAGTAAGAAACCGGTGAAATAAAAAAATAACTGGATTTTGATAAGGATACATTTTGTTGACATAAACTGTTAAAACTTCTCTGCACTAATCTGAATAAATGCTTCTTCAGGGCAAAGTTTTAACCAAGTTTAATAACATTTTCATCAACAAAAACACAATATCAGAGACATGACAGTGCACCCTGTCTGCCTGTTTGTCTTTATAGAGATCAATTCATTAAATACAGGCAATATAAATATATAAATATTTTCTTAAAGCAGTAACAACCCAGCATGAATAGTAAAAGGTAAAAGATGAGATTTACTTAAAATGTTCACTTAAGTTTTTAAGGTTTTCTCCTTATCTTAGTCTTAAACTTCAGGAATCACTTAAAGTCAGTTTAATTGCTGCACAAAAATACCTTAACCATCAACTGTAGAATTTAACCTCTGTAAAATCTTTCACTGCTGTAAATTGCTCCTTAACTAAGGAAACCTTTTTAAGAGATTTTATGCAACACTCTTAAGTAACTCGCTCAGCTAAGGAGAAATTAAACCTTTAAGTGTCATACTTAAGTAGAAGTTTTGATCATCGTTGATTAATCTGCTGAATTTTATAATATGCCAAAATGTGACATATTGAAGTGTCTTGTCCAAAAACCCAAATATACTCAGTTTACCGTCATGTAACTCAAATAAAAGTGGCAGATACTCACATTTGAGAAGCTGGAACCGGCAAATATTTGACATCTTTGCAGGAAACGTGACTAAAATGATAAATTGCTTATAAAAACATAGGCCAGTTAATTTTTCTCAATACACTGAATGATTGATAGACTAACTGTTCTGGCTGTACTTGTATCTGCAATTTATTCCCCTCCATAAACGTCAATATTAACCAAGAGAAAATCAGCAAAAGTGCAGCTGCAAGATCTTAACGAGCTACTTCTTAGACGTAGTGTAGAAATGTTTCTGCACCAAAGACGGAGGCGAGAGACGCATCAAGCTTGTGTCAAAACACTGAAGGAAGAACTTAATGTCCTTAGATAAAAATCTAGTCGTGGTTAATTGTCAGACAAACTCAAAGCGAAGCTGCAAGTTTATTATTAATGAACGTCAAGATTCAGCTGTGGCTTTGTGCTACATTTTTATTTGATTTCACGCACTCGTACACTTTGTTTGTATTACAAAGTAAGAACATGACACTTGGATGCAGATGACTGTTTGTGTACCCCACATGAAAATAAACGAGCTGTGCCTGTAACAGCTGTTGTCTATTGACGGTGAGGCCAATAAATTCACAGCAACCTGAGGTTATTTAATGGCGTCCGTGCCAGATGGAGAATCTCGCACGTCACGGTGGGGGAAGACGCAGTGGGAGGAGAGGTAATAAAGCAGAAACTCCACCAATCACATGGTGCTGTTAACCAGGGCCAGTGTCAATTAATGCAAGAACAGTAAACAAGGCCGGGTGAGAGTTTACACTCCAACAAACATCTGCATTAATATTTGGTCTCAGATTGAAGCTTCAAAGCGTCTTTTCTTAAAGAGTAAGTCTGGCGATATTTTACTACACTAACAAATGTCAGTCCCACGCCGTAGAAGTAGAGCAGTAAATGTGTATTAATCCGCAGCTGAAAATAGTCCCCAACAAATGCTGCTAAAGTCTGCTAAAAACTACATTGCCCAGCTGTTTTATGAAATAACTGAGCCTTTTTTATTAAAGTGAAATTACAATTTAGTGAGGTGTTTTTAAAGAATTACATCTTTAGTGGGAATGAATGTGTGGAAATCCCAAATCTGATCTGTTTTATTTATATGATTTTATTCCTTTTTGTTTGGTCTGGTTTTCCTTTTCTTGTAAAGCATTTTGTTAACTTTGTTAATAAAGTTATTATTATTATTATTATTATTATTATTATGAATGGGTTTGACGAGCAGACGTTTATTAACAATATGAGAAATATAGATTAACAACTGCCCTATTCTTTAAATCGGTGAAAAGAAACTCCATTTGTTCCCAATTTTTTTTTGATGCTTTGTATCTCGAAACAAAACCATGTGAAACAGATCTATAGTATCGAGACAATTTACACTTGATTCAAGATATTTCCATCACTTGTGACAGGTGAACAGAATGTTTCCCATTCAGTATAATGTGTATAATGTGCAGAAGAAACCAGGTCACCGGGAGAAATTAGGTTACAGCAGACGTACAGAACATATATGGAGCTGAAATAATCCATTAGTCAATCGACTGAAAAATCAGTGGCAACCATGATAACAATCGATTAATCATTTAAGGCTTTTATTTGTGTTTATGTGGTAGTAAACTGAGTTTATTTGGGTTCAATATGTCACCTTTCTTTACAGTAGCCTGATCTATAACACGTCGTATAAACAAGAGATGTAGTTAAACTGATTTCCTTCCTGTGGAAATGTGTCTGACTTTCACAGACACTTTGTTGTGCCAGTTTCACTTTCAAATAAGATGTGGCTTCATTTGAATAATTTAATTTATTATCGTTCTCTCCATATACAATATTCATGATACACAGGCGTGATATATAAGATATTATTTAACTCTTCACACATGAACTCTGAGCAGTGTGCGGACTGGATCGTCTGGAGAGTAGACTACAGTTGACAGTTGCCCTTTCACACATGCAGCACACAACAGGAGGATGTCCGTGTGAGACGTGTTCTCACCTGGTGGAAGTACTCTGTTTAGTTTATGTGACGGTGACACCTGAGTAGATCGTGCAGGAGGTGCGTCATCAACACGAACACCGTGAACACTGCCGTTCCCTCGTGGTGAATTCAGAGGACAATGACCTGCTCTGTTCACGTATCGCCTCAATCGAGGACTCGGTTCTGGGGAGTTCTCAGGGCAAAGGCTGTTTAATATCTGATTCAAAGGATCGGGACGTTTTTGTTCACACATACAGATCCTGCAGGTCAGGTCAAGAGAAGGTCAGGGTTACAGTGAACATGTGAAAGCTGCTCGACTTGGACAAACTCAAAGCCTAAACTTACTCCACTTTTTCTTTTTTACAGTCCAGGTTCCACCAGCAGAAATAAAGCTGTGTGAACAGTGTCGCTCTACTTTACGTTACTGCAGAAAGTCGACATTATCCGGTTACAGAAGTGCGTCTAAATAGACTGAATCAAAGACACATGGAGCGTTACATTCAGGGTATCTGCAGGGTTTAAAAAGTCTTATAAAGCATCATATTAAATTCCTTTTTAAAAGGGTCTTTAGGAGGAATTAAAAAGTCCTAAATTTCACTGGAACTTACTTTCACTGTTTTTTGGCATGTGATTTTAAAAGTGAGACTGTTTTGACGGTGGATTGCGCTGCGGGACGCTCGCTGCTGATTGAACTGTTGATTGATCTATTAATCCACCCAACAGTTCTCTACTGCTTAACAAGGTCCAGGGAATGTTACTAGGAATTATGATGTGCAGCTGGGAAGAACTGACAAAAATGTGGCATAAATGTCAATGAATTCATAAATGTCTGTACTGGTCTCCATCATTCTGTGACCAGTATGACTGAAAAAAACTCTGAAAAACTTCGTATTTTGGCCACAAGCCTCACGCTGAATTTAATCTGAATCCAAAATGTGAATACATCAATCTGCTTCTCTTCAGTCCCAGTCCAGTTCTACACTGGGTCCGGTCCAGTGCAGAACTGGCTTTGAAACAGTTACTGTGGTTAATGCAGTGATTTACTTCACAAATATAACTTCTGCTCTCGGTGTTCAGCTCAACCAGACTCAGCTCCTCACATCCTGGGAACACATACAGAGACGGATCACACGGCTTTCAAGCTCGGCCAAATGTAACAGTTGCCGCACATGGATCATTGTTAGCTGTGTAAAATGGTCTTACAGTGAAATATTGTAGCCGCCAAACTGTGCCAAAGTTCGTGGGTAAACATCCCAGAGCTGATTAAATCCTCTTTATACTCAGAGGAGTTTGTTTGAACGGCTCCCCGCGGTTGGACCTCCCTTTGTGTGTTGTCCTGTCTGCTGATGCCGGTTTATTTGTCTGCCCTGCTTCACAGGAGCTGCTGGAGAAGTTCATGGAGGGGAACGTAAGCCTGGATGAGTTCTTGGACTCCTTCCAAAGCTCCAGGAAGACGTATCATATCCGCCGGGCGCAAGCGGAGAAGATGCAGGAGATCGCTCAAGCCAAGCGGCAGCCGAGCAAAACCAAGGAGGAGAGTAGAGTCCCGGAGGTGAGGAAGGACTCGGAGCAGGTTCAGGAGCCGCACCGGCCCAACGGCTTCGTAGCGCAAGGACCTTTAAGAGTGTTCCAGGTCCGCTACGGCCTCACGCCGGCCATCCTCCTCCCTCATTACCCCGTTTCTCCCCCTGCCTCAGCCCCAGTCCATCAAAGTAGTACCCCCCCACCCGAACCTCAGCTGGGACAGACCCACATCCTCAGCCCCAGCACCCCGCTTCCAGGACACGGCCAGCCGGTCGGCCTCAGGGTCATCGGACAGCTATCGGGGGGCTGGCCGGCTAACGGGCGGCCGGTGAGAGTGCAGCAGCTTTACAGGCCGAACCCTCAACAGCCCGAGCCGCCGTACCGATAAGCTCGAGGAAGGGGGGAGGAGGAGAAGGAGGAGGAAGAGGTGGAGGATGAAGAATGGCCGGTTTGAGAGGTCTTCCAAGCGGGGAACCAAACAGTGGCTGTCACAATCATGTAAGCAAAGACTGATCCAGAGACAGGCAGCACTGCAGACGTCCGTTTCTGTTCTCCATCCATGACACATAAATGTAACCACCAGAGGGAAGCGAGCAGAGCAGAGAGAGAGAGAGAGAGAGAGGCGGCACACAGAGACAGGGAGGACCGGGGGTGGGTCTCGATAGCCGGGTCCGTTTTGGATCCAGTGAAAGTTACAGTCGTTAAGGTCCGACGCTCACGAATCTCACATCACAGTAAAAGAACGATGAAAAGTACAGAGCGAAGGAAGTTTGAAGACCATAAATCAGTTCATCATTTATTAAATAACGTCATAATCTCCTTTGTGCAGTGGAAAAACGACACATACAGGAACAGAATAAGGGTAACGTTGACTGTGTTACATCACTTGGTGTCAGTATTAATGTGAGGACATTTACTTTTACAAGACAAGCAGCAGTGACACAGTCAGATCACACAAAATATGTCACAAAATCAAAATGAAACATTTTCTAACACAATCATGTAAAATAATTCAACAACCTAAAACAACACAAGAGCCTTTTCAACAGATTACAAATTACAAATACCTCAAAACATCAACAGAGAGCAACGTTTCTGCAGCAGTGCTTGTAATTCATTCCACATTCTTCAATTTGACATCTAAAAATTTTCAGACGCAGGAAGCAGCTACTATAACAGATCTTAGATTAGTGCAGATTTCAGGCAGCTGTTCACACCTTGTGGTTGGTTAGATCTACGTCTAACACAAAAGCAGCTTTATAAAAGAATCTGGCAGCTGATTGACGTGCTTCCTTATGTGCTGCTGCTGTTACTGCAGTGGAAATGAAGACGTTTACACTGACAGTGTTACTGTTACTCAGCCTCGAAACACCAGTCTGATATCTCTTATTATGACAAAGGCTTAGGGGCAAAATCTCATTAACGCACCACTTCTGTCCGAGCTCTACAATGTGGATGTGAAAGTAGCAAAGCTCAGCAGGAAGCATTTTCTAACTCATTATTTAAATCATCAAACATGCATTAAGATGCTTTGTAATCAGAAGAAAAGCTAAATTAGAAACGCACAAAACTTTAAAAGTAGAATTTCAGCAGAGGAACAGACACCTTGTTAACCGTCTAACAAAAAAAAAAAAGAAAAACTGGATAAAATGCGTTTTTAATTTTATAGATTAAAACCTTCATTTTAATCTAATGGTATCTGATGATGAAATTTCAATATCTACAGCATCTCCTGGACATATTTCTTGGCAAAGGCACTTAAAGAATCAAATCTTTAAGGTTCAGCTTGTCTACAAGTCGGACTCGTCTGTAGGTAGCAGCTTCAATATTTGGACTAATTAGCTGGTGAAGTACAGTAAACGACAGTCGTTAAGTAAATGTGTGAGATACCTTTTGATTAACATTTCTTATGTTCTGCTGCTCAGGTTAATCCAGCTGCCACTCACTTCACTTCATCTTTTATTCTTTACTCACATGAGATAAGATGAGATTCACTAAGGGATTCAGGAGGATTCAGATTGTGGATTTGAATTCAATAAAATGCTATCGAGCCCCATCCCTCGTGAGGACACGAGCGTTTTCATTATTATTTTTAATTTTATTATATTTTTTATACTGAGGCGTGTGACACAAATAAAAAAAAAAAACAAAACAAAAAAAGGATCTCATTGTTCATTCATACAGCAAGAGGCTTTGTGAGATGCCTCATCTCAATGAACGATGACATCAATAAAGTGTTCAATATAAACTCTCACTGTTTGTCATCCATCACATGAGGCAAAGACATTCATCCTTGGTGAGATCCAAGATAATGAATGCTAATATGAGATCATTGCAGAGTTTAAACAAAGACGTACTGTAAAGCAGAGCAGGTGGTATTTATTAATAATTCCCAGACTATAACCTGTCAATAGTATTTGCAGTGTCATGTGTGTGTGTTAGCATCACAGACGATTACCCAAAGCCTTCTGCCTTCTTGTGCGATTTCACGAACAGTGTTGCAGCTCGCACATCAGTGAGCGATTTATTTATTCATGTAAATCCTATTTTAAATGGCTGACTTCAAAGCTTCTTGTTTACCGTGCTAAATGAGGAGCTGCTGCTCCTTTCGTGGCAGCCACCGGTTTTTTATTTCTCCCCCCAAAACTGAGGTGCAGAGTGAGGGGAATTTAATCTCTATGAGAAAACGCCAGCGCTCTGCAAGTCCACAGTCGAGCATAAGGAGGTTCTTCCCATTTTGCTCCTCTCTTTTCATTTTTTTTTTCTCATCATCCATCTTTCAGCGTTTAAAGGGAAAATCTCTGGATTGTAGTTTTACTGGTTGTGCTCTTGAACACACATTTTGCTCATTAATAACTCATAAGTGCATGCTTACTACAGCTTGACAAAGTACATGAAAATGCCTTTTGCAGGCCGGTGCCCAGTTGCATAAAACATTTTAAGAAAATATTGTAAAGAAAAGAGTTGTTCTAATTTAACTTATGTCATTTTCTCATGAAATGTCTTTAAATAAGTCGAACTGTAAATCAATTTCAAGGCTCTGAGGATTTCTTTAAAGGGTAGCTCCAATTTTTATTTTTTATTTTTTATTTTTTATTTTTTTTACAGCGTCTAGTTTTTCATCATTTCTGTCAAATAAGACTCAAAGTCAACTGCTGAGATCTGTACATGCAGCTACATCACGAACACGATGTGGCAGTGCCAGGAGATGAAAAACATCTTGGTAAAAAATAATCCAGATATTATATGATATTATTTCTTCAGCTGCATCCACGTCGTACACATAAGGACATTCCCAAAAAAATATATGTTTCACTCATTACTCGGAAAGTGAAGCTACCAAACCGACCCACTAACCTGGATTGTCTTCATACTCAATTAATAATTCCTTGTTTGGTCCATAAAATGTCAGAAAATGAAAGTTTTATCAGATCAACAGTTCAACAAATCAATTTAACAACAAAAACAAAATCGGACGAGGCAAGAAAAACGAGCCGTCAGACAATCAGACGGGTTCTCAACAAAGCTCCAGGTCACAAGTTCAATAAACTTATCACCCAAACTTTTACATTTACAACCCGTCTGATTGTTGTGTTGCCATGTCGACAGATCTCAGCAGTTACACTGGTGAGTACAGTGTTGGTATAAAAATACTCTGATAATAAAAGTTATCCTAAACGGTAAAAGAAAAATAGAGAAATACAGTTAAGGAACCTGTTTTTATTGGTCAACAAGATGTAAATGTGCCAAAATGGTGTTTTGTAACAGTTAAAACCCAGTGGAGGCTTCACCATGTTGTTTGGATGATATTTTTGGAGAAACTCTTTCTCCTCCTTTGTCCAACTCAACCTGTTTTTAACTGTCCTTTTTATTGTTTTTACTTTTTTATTTCATATCATGCCTTCGACCACAGGGTTTTACTCACAGTCTCTTACAAAATCAGTGAAGGACACTCGGTCTTTTAAATGTGCGAACTATTAGTTCAACAACAGAAAACAAGTTTGATTTTGTAATGAAAAAATTTTAACTCACATCTGTTTGAGATTTTCTTGCAAGTCCCTTAACTTCTGAGAAAAGATTAATCACACATCTGTACAGTAAATATGAAGTTACCAGGAGACAGTTAGCTTAGCTTAGCATAAAGACAGCAAGCAGAGGGAAACTGCTAGCTTGGCTCTGCCTGACGATAACAAAAATCCACACGTCAGCACCTCGTTTTGCCATTTTTTTATTAAAAAATACTTGTGCAGATTAAATAAACAAGACATAACGTGTCAGTGAACTTTAGAGGTGCTGTGAGGACGAGCCAGGCTAGCTGTTTCTACTTGTTTCCAGTATTTATGCTAAGCTAAGCTAACGGCTGTAGCTTCATATTGACAGTACAGACACAGGACGTGAACCTTTGATGTAACTGGGCACTGGCTCCAACCAAACATGCAGTTCTGTGTCCACTCAGGGTCTTTAGAGGAAAGAAATGCAGTGCTGCTCCTTAACCTGTAGCACAGTTGGACCCGGGGACGTCGTACCTATGGATCACATGTTAACCCCACACACACACACACACCTTTACAGGTGCATGCCAGAGAGACTCTAACCATGACCACAATGGTGACACCAAGTCACCCTCGACATTCCATTGTTGCATTGAGATTTGACCGAATGTTGTAATAATAATAATAAAAAGTTTGTAATACTGTTATTGTTGGCTTAATTTCACAGGGCCCGTGTTTTCCAGATCATTTCCTGGAAACTTTCCTCAATTCCTAATTTCCTAAACAATTACCTGGTATTTAGCTGCAAATGACAAACACAGGCCAATGCAGTTTGGTGCTGATTATAAAGGAAGTGGGGAAAGTGTTATTTGCAGTCACAGTTGCTGCTTGTCATATTTGACGTTCATTCTATATTGGTTGAATTGCATGTAGCTGCATCGATTTGTGTTTCAGACAAATACGAGCAACAAGTAAAACACAACATAATGTAAAATCTCACCTTTTTTTTCTTTCAAACATAATCCAGCACAAGACGACATGTTACAGAACAGGTAACTGAACAAACAGCAGTTCATATTCCAACAAAAGAAACTTGTTTCTACCTGATTTCACACCTAATCAAGAATTATTGACGTCTGTGTATGAACTATTTTTCACTTACCTACTACATAATATCTTCGTTTTTTTTCTTTAAAAACGCAAATATCCTGGAGCCAAGTTTTAGGAAATGATCTGGAAACACGGGACCTGTAAAATGAAGCGTTACCTGACTTTTTTGTAACAGTGCTGTCTGAATCCACCTTAACCAAAACTCATTTTATTCAGGCCCAGATGATTCATTTAAGATTGGACACTTGTGTGTTTGAAATATCTCAAAATGTAAAGTGCTTGTTTCTGCAACTGTGGTTTTGTTTGTCCAGTCTATTATATTGTGTGTCTTTTCTATCAGGGACTCATCCCAGCAGCCTTCTTACAAAAAAAAAAGAGAAAAAAAAGAGCAGTGATAAAACAGATAAATGAATGTTGCTTTCAATATTTAAATTGAAATCAAGTGCAGCCACTCGCTGAGCCAAACGCCCCTCAAACATTTGAGATGATTTGCA